GTTAATCTGTAAAGTTGCTATATTTCAGCTATGGCCAACAGCTTTTCAATCACTTCAGTCAGCAGCAGTATAGGGTGATGATGTTTTGATGCTAAAGTCTAAAGACAACCAAGGAGGAAAAACTCCTGATGTTTAGCTTGTGCAGAATTGATTATACCCCCGGAATAAAAGCATGGAATGGAAAAAACCAGTCGCAAAAGCTCTAAACTTCTCCAAAATGCTCTTGCAAGAATATAGCAAGGATGGAGAACATTGCACAAATATAGTGAATCGCTAAAGCAAATGACAGGGAACGCATAAGAGAATAATTTGACCAGTGGAAGAACGTCGTCCGCTTGTAAGGAGTCGTGTTACATCATAGCAAACAAAGGTCAAGGTGCGAGCACGAACACATTGACCTCGACCAGACGTTGCGTTGACCACTAAGGCATGCTGAAGTTGATGGAGAAGAAATCAAAATGACTTATGGCTTTCTCTCGGCGTTCATTTATATACATGTGTGGCCAACTCGTGACTTTGAAGGGTAGAACGAAGCGGGACCTAACTTACTATAGATGCATTAATAATGCCAGAGAGCTCTTCCTTAAGTAGACGTTGAAATGCCCAAAAAATCGTATAATGATTGCCTACGCTGTCTAAAACCAAAGAGAAAGTGTTTGCAAGAATACTTGAAAATAATAAGCTTTATCGGTGATCACTTTGTAATTTTTGTCTAACCTCTAACTATCGAGATCAGAAACTTTCCTAGAAAGCTAGGGTACACGCCGCTTTGACAACGTCTCTGTTCTGATAAACGTCAACCAGCTAAGTGTTCCCAGCGTATTGGTAAAAGGGAAAACACGAAGCCGACTGCTACGATGTGATTCATTTTAACGCATGCGATCAGAGTTTAAGGCACATAAACTTTGCGCAGCACAGTGTCATACTTTTTTTTCAAATTCACTGTAGAGGGATTTTAGATATACTGATCAAAAAGGTAATTTGAGAGATTTTAAAAACTAGTGCTTGATTTTCAAGCTTAAGTAATTATTGTAGAGTTCATTTTTAGCGATCGAGTCCTTTAAATAGTCCTATTATGCGACAACATACACGCTCGTACCATCACTACTAACGTCGATAAAAGTATAACAGAATAACAGAAGAGTACGCGCTATAGTGCAAAACTGTGGTACTCATTTAGCATTAAGGGAACAGACGAATGCATTCAATCATTATTTCGTTCTTCTAAAGTTTCACAAAAAACTACATAAAATAGCCGGCCACCCACTCTTCCAATTGCGATGATTAAAACGTTTCAAACCCACTTAATTTATATATCACAACACAGCGGCAAACATTGCTTTCACGAAGAGTAAAAAGATGTCAGCGAACGCGGGAGAACTCAGAGCAGCACAAGAAAGAACAAAGTTTTATCGCAAATTTGAAGTCGAACAGCAGAACCAGTTTTGGGCCAAAGTTTTTCGCTGATTTAACAGTTGAAAATAAGCCGATGGAACAACGGTAGACGAGCGCAAATTAAAATTCCATGCAATAATGGGAGTTGAGCTGTTATTTTCACATTACGAAGGTAGATTTAAGCAAAGCCAATATAAAGAAAATGGATCAGCTGGCGAAAGTAGACAAATGCAGCACGGCCTTATTTTTATGTAGAAGAACAAAGTTCATCATGATTCATAGCAAAAACATTACAGTAAGTGGCTTCAATGAGTTATCGTCTCCGATCGTACTGATTAGACGAGCGAAGGAATGCAAATGCACTTCATGAGTCATCCATCTTCTACCAATCGTCGTCATCACTACTCGGACTAGCGGGTACAATTAGAG